ATGTTTGTGTCTGCCTAATTAACTGAAATGCACTAAGATGTGTATTAAAATCTTCCCCTATGACGATAAATTAGCTTTGAAGTTTTATTCTTAAAGTTGCCAAATGTTGATGTCTATATCTTAAATCTAGAAGACACATTCAAGTTCAGACACTTTTAAATCCATCGGCAGGGCTGGCTGGTTAGCTCATCTGGTCAGAGCACAGCCTTGTAACACCAAGGTCAAGCGTTCAGATCCCCATGCCAGTCAGCTGCTAAAAAAATATAAAATAAAATAAATCTGATATGTTAAATCCACAGGAAAATGTCTATTCGCGCTTCCAGATGAACTGAGCTTTTATCATTATGAAGTGACTTTCTATCTCTAGTAATTTTTTCTTTTTGCCTTAAAGCCTATTTTATTCTGATACTAATATAGTTCACCAGCTTTCTTTTATTTAGAAAGTATTTGACATACCTTTCTCTATCCTTTTACTTTTTTCCCTGTAATCTAACAATCTTTATCTTTTAATAAGAACATTTAGTACCTTTATATATATTGTAACTAGTTATATTTGGATTTATTTTCAGCTATTCTTTGTGCATTTTATTTATTTTATCTTGTCTATTTCTTTTCTTTACTGTTTTTGCTTCTTTTGGTATTTTTTTCTCATTCCATATTTTTTCCTCTACTAGTCTGGAAATTATATATTCTTTGTCTTTACTATGTATACTTATTAAAGCCTAAAGTTAATATCAAAAAGTTAATATTATAAAGCTATTACAAAGTTAATATAATTATATATATTATTATTATATATAATTCTCCTCAAAAAAACATAAACTTAGAACATCCCCTCATAACTTACATGTTACTGTTGTCTTTATTTTAGTTCTATCTTTGTTAGCCCCAAAAGGCTTTATCAGATTTAGTTTTACATATATATTTACCACTTTCTTTGTTCTTCATTCCTTCTAGCATCTCAGACCTTCCAACTGAAAACACTTCTCTCTGAATTTAGAATTCCTTAATAAAGGAGTTGAGTTGTCTGCTGGCAAACTCACTCAGCTTTGTCTGAATATGTTTTTATTTCATCTTTGTTTTTGACAAGGACAAAGAACCCATCTTTGCTGGGTATGAACATCTAGATTGAGGACTTTTCCAGCATTTTAAAAATAATTACCACTGTCTCTTGATTTATACTATTACTGATGACCAATTGGTTATCACTCTCATAGTTACTTCTTTGAAGGTCTCTTTTCTCTATCTTTTAAGACTTTATATTTGATGTCCTAGTTTCACTATAATATGTTTAGGGAGGATTCCCGCTTGGGTTTGTTTGGCTTCTTAAATCATGGCTTGGTGACTTTCTTCAATTCTGGAAAGTTCTCAGCTATTATCTCTTAAAATCATTTTATTCCCCCATCTATTTCATATTCTTCAGGAACTCTGACAAAATATATGGCATGCTTTTTCTTTCTATGTTCCATGTTGCTAAACCTCCTTCATGTATTCAGTCTGTGTTTCTCTGGTCTGCATTCTGGATAATTTCTTCACTTCTATTTTTCAATATACTAATTCTCTCTATAGCTGTGCCTAGTGTGTTTTCATAAAGAATAGCTTGAGAAGGCCCCACATACTATTATCTAATCTATTAACATTATCAAATTTACTTTCTCGAAATGTCATCTTAGGAGGTGATACACTTATTCTGATAATGCTGCTATTACTTAAAATACTTTTGGAATTCTTTGGAAATAACATTCTAGTCCATATATCTTTTCATTTGTTTTTTAGTGCTAAATTCATTCTAGTCTGGTCTCTATTAAATTCATAACTTTAATTATTCCATTCTATGTCACCCCTCCTCTGTATTGAGAAGTCCTTGTAACTGGTTATGTGAAGTTAAGAATTCCTAAAAATTAAGACCTTGAACTACTTTCACTTATCACCCTAACAAATGGCAATATGCAGTGATGGCAAGGCTATGAGCAGACAAGCACTTTCATGTGTGTCCATGTGTGTCTGATAGGAATGAAAATTGGTATGACCTTCACAGTTGGCAATTTAACAATAGGTATCAAAAATTTTCATAACTTCTGACTCATTATAGGAATTTATCCTAAGGACATAAATCTAAAATATCTGTTCACAGAAGTTTGATTTAAACTAATGAAAAAAAAATTTTTTTGTTTTTTTTTGTCTTTTTTGTGACCGGCCGCACCATGCTCAGCCAGTGAGCGCACCGCACCGGCCACCCCTATATAGGATCCGAACCGCGGCGGGAGTGCTGCTGTGCTCCCAGTGCCACACTCTCCCAAGTGCGCCACAGGGTCGGCCCCTAATGAAAAATTTTAAATAATGTTGCAGAAATATATTTATTAACATATAGTTCAAAATATACTGTAAGGAAAAAAGCAGTCTACAAACCAGTATAATTCCATGTTTATATTAATATAAACATACACAAAGAAAAAATGTCTTTGGATATCCGTTCAGTCTCTGGGATCATAAGTGACGTTTAGCTTCTTTTTTTGCTCATTTATTGCCAGGTTTTCCACAATGAGCATATATTAACTGTATAATTAAAAAGTATTAGGGCCGGCCTGGTGGCGCACTGCTACAGTGCGCCGCTTGAGAGCGTGGTGGCGCTCCCTCCGAGGGTTCGGATCCCACATACAGACTGGTTCCCGCTCACTGGCTGAGCGAGGGGCGGGGGCAGCACCGAGGGTTGTGATCCCGTTGCCGGTCCCGGTCCGGTACGGGCGCGACACTGAGGGTTGCGGTCCGTTGCCAGACACGAAAAAAGACAAAAAGGAAAAAAAAAAAAGTATTAAATTCTTTTGTTTTAAATACCAGAGTATCTAACCACATTTTACAAAAATAGTTCTATGGGAAAATGCAGCCAAGATTCAGTCAAGAACTATGAGTAATACATCCCTCATTCTAATGGTCCTGGCAATTCGAATTCCTTTTTTTTTTTTGTCTTTTGTCTTTTTCCGTGTCCAGCAACGGATCGCAACCCTCAGTGTTGCCCCCGTACCGGACCAGGGACCGGCAACGGGATTGCAACCCTTGGTGCTGCTCCCGTGCCTCGCTCAGCCAGTGGCGGGAACCGGTCTGTATGTGGGATCCGAACCCTCGGGCGGGAGCGCCGCCACGCTTCCCAAGCAGCGCACTATCCAGTGCGCCACCGGGCCGCCCTCGAATTCCTTTTTTATAACTCATTCTATTCTTCCCACCCTAAATCTGAAATCCCACCTCCAAAGAATAGTAACTGCTACTTCCGAAGTCCTGAAAGTACAGGGAGCAGGCTGGGAGAAAAGGGGCCAAGATATGGAGAAAAGAGGAACTGAACGTTTATGAGGAACAGACTCTTGGTATTTTGGAGGAGCTTTAGGAACAGGGCTTGGTTAGAGGGAGAAGAGGATGTTCCATGAATAAACTTCAGCAAAATAATTTATCTTCTCACCAATATTCTGCCTTACTTGAGCATACATCCATTGCTACAAGCTCCACTCAACTGCTGTAAGGAGAAACTCCATAGATCCCAGCACCAAGTAGGATTAGGAAAAAGTATTTGCGTCAGTGAAATGGAATAGGACCTATGTGCTCACAGTAATTCGTGATTCTGTTCTTTTGCCCCTTCCTTAGCATATGGTAGGTCTTTCTTTGGTAGCATTTTTTGCTTCATTAACCTATCATTTCTCAGCTTCTCTAACATGACGTGCTGCCCCTCTCCTTTCACAGACCCTCTGACGTACCAGTCTCCATCTGAAATACTTCTATCACCTCCCCAACCTTCTTTTTTTCCCCCCATTGTTTTTGCTTTTGGTGGCTGGCCAGTACAGGGATCTGAACCCTTGACCTTGGTGTTTTAACAGGGCACTCTAACTGAGCTGACCATCCGGCCTTCCCAATCCTATCTTGACTAATTCATCTCCTATTCATTTTTCTGATCTTGGTTCAAGTGTCACTTCCTCAGGGAAACACCCTAGTATAAAATAGGTTCCTTCGAGCCTTTCTCTGAATTCGTAAATATACATTACGCATTATTTAGTATGGTTATCTAATATCTAGTTGAACTGACAGATACCAAGCTCAATGAAAGCAGTGCCATTAGCTGGTTTTGCTCACCACTGTTACCCCTGCATTTGGAACACAGCAAGTGCTCAACAAGTATTTGCTGAATGAAGGAATGAATGAATGAACAACTAAGCAAATAACTAGCAACCCAGAGGCCTTGATGTGGTAAGAATTGTATTAATGATGTCATCTCATGGTGGAACTGTGTTCAAATTTTTTCCTTTGATTGCTGTTAAACTTCTGTACTCACAAGACAAAGTTTTAAATATATATATGTTATTTTGAAAATTCCCCATAGCCCAAAGTAAACCAAGGCCAAATATGAAATATTAACCAGCCTAGAAAAAGGCTGGATACCCTTAACAGAAGCATGTAGGCTAAACTGGGAACTTCACAAATGGCCCAAATCTTGAGATGCCTCCCAGCAGTGTCTTAGTAACTTCCTTGAGCAAAGGAACACACCCTTGTCCTCTCATGGCAAGTTCAGGTACAAGGTACTGGGAACCTGCAGGTCCCCGACCCCTGGCCTGACACAAGTTTATAAGCTGAGAAAAACGCAAGGCTAGGATGACAGAGGGGAAAATGGGCATTTGTTCAAAATGTATTTACTGAGCACCTACTGTGTACGAGAAAGCCCTAGTTTGGGGCTGGCTCTTATAGACTTAATGTGTGGCGTTAGGCACGGCTCCTTCACAGAGCCTCCAAGTCCTGAAAGTGAGCAAATTTGGCCCGGGCTTGCCTACTTCAAAGGGCCGGGATAGGGGCTCCAGCAGCGACAATGCGCTTCAGAAAGTGCCAGAGAGCATGAAGGCCAGCGTACCCAACCAGACTCGAAAACTCCGGCCCGAGCCTAGTTAGCGAGCCCTGGGCGGCCGTCCACGGGCAGCAGAGCTGGGCGGAGGTGGGTACCCGCCCTCCAGGGGGGCCGCGCTTACCCGTCCGGCGAGTACTCGAGGTTGAAGACTGCACCGTGGGTGCGGGTGCTGAGGTACACTGAGTCCGCGGGGTGGATGGAACCATAAAGGTTAGTCATGGTGCGGAAATTGTCCCGCGCCGGGTCCACGAACAGCCCGCGGCCCAGGCTGCGCTCTCTCAGCCACCCGAACAGCCTGGCGCCAGGGCCGCCCAGGCCCCCGCTGAGGCCATACCGGCCCCGGCTTCCGGCCCTGCAGTCCTGGCCGGGCCGCCGGCGCGGGGAGGAGGGCGGTGACGGCTCTCCCTGGGCGGAGGCAGCCGAGGACTTCGGAGCTCCAGGCGGCCCGAGCTCTCCGACGCGCGCGGCCGGGGGCAGCGAGGGGG